CTAACCTCACTCAGAATGATGTTCTCCAATTCCATCCATTTACCAGCAAATGATAACATTTCATTCTTCTTCATGGCTGCATAAAATTCCATTGCCCCAACACCTAACATTCTTGTACAGCTATTCACCTTTGCAGCTATCCAATGAGAAACTGGGGAAAGTGACTTAGTAGACTTGGTATAATTAGAGTGTGAACCAGAACCTGACCCACTTCTCTTTGCCTTCCTTTCTTCTTCCTGTGCCCAGCACCATCACTTGGCTGGCTCATTTCACCTCTCAGAGCTCAGTTTAGATTTTATTCCTCAGACAGGCTTCTCTGTGCACCCTCTAGTTGTCCTCTAGTTACCACCTCATTCTCCTGTTTATTAACCCCAGTATCATGTCTACAGCAACTCCCCACCATACACACTTTTTAGGGAGTGTTGGGGATTGAGCCTAGGACCTTGTGTATGATAAGCTTATGTTCTACCAGTGATCTACACCCCCAGCCACAAAGCAAACACTTTTTAAAGATAAACTCTAAAATACAACTAAAGAATCCTCTCTCAGATGCTTGACCAACACTTCCTTTTAGTAACCATCTTGTTTTCAATGTTCCACCATCCTTCACTCTGCATCTTGGACTTGGATCCAGATAACCCTCACCTCACTTGGGCATAGATTTCCAGGTTCATAGGATCTGCTTTAACCAAAGGTAAAATTCTTTCAGGCAGTGGCACTGGGGCAAGGCCTTACTCTAACCCTGAGACTTGGGTTCTAGGGAGTTTCACTTGCTCAGTCTGGGAAATCTAGTTTCCTTTTTCTGTGAGCCATAGATGGGGGAAAGACACTACCTTCCTTTTCCTCTTTCTGTTCATCTTCCTCCTCTTGAAGGAAGAACCCCAGCATCTCATACCCCAGGTTCCCAGATTCCTGCAGACCCACCAGAAAAAGCCTAAGAAGGTCTTTCACATCTCCCACGAGGCTCTGGACACTCATCAAAACAATTCTAAGCTTGCTGTAAAAATATGTTTATATATCCTGATTTCATACAATCCCAGCTTCCTCAAAACTCCTGCTAACCTCACACTAGGATTTCACATGTGAACATAAGCACAGCAAAATGCAGTGTAATTTTTATGAAACCTAACTTCCTTTGTGACTTGTAAGTCACAGTCTTTTGTTCCCTACTCAGACCTGCCAGAGCTGCCTGCTTGATTTGCATACAAATTTGAGTTACAATGGATTATCCTGAGCTGTTTTAAGCTAACCACTCTTTTTGTCTGTCCCCAGATCAGCATCCAATTCATACACAGCTGCAAGACACTTCACTTCAGTGGAGCTGGTGCTTTGATTTACAACACTTAATGTGGCGTCAGTTTAGGTTTCATAACTTTTAAATATATTTTATCTCTTATTTTTCACTAAAATTGACAAAAATAAGTTTGATATTTTGTATGAGTAGAAGATTGGAACATCCTAGGGTTGCACATCTTAAATTATGTAAGTATGCAAGTACTTTATTCTTTCTTTCATCATCATTAACACCTCTAGAAAGTGAGACTCAATGCTCTTTAGCACTACAAAAGGAATGGCTATTGACAAATCAGAATTAAACTTGACTAAATTGTGCCTTGTAATTTCTTACATTTCTTGGAACACTGGATTTAATCAGGAAACTCATCATTCTATGAATTACATTAATAGAGTTGTGCCAGGAACAAAAGAATTGCTAGGCTTATGGTTTGAATAATGATCCTCAAACTCAACAATAAGAATATAACCAAGGGGTGAATTCAAGTATGATATATTTGTTATATTGTAAGAACTTTTATAAATGCCACTATGTACCCCACCTAGCACAAAAATAAATAAATAAATATTTTAAATAGGCCAAACCCCTTAAAAGACACATTACTAAAGAAGACATAGAGATGACAAGTAAGCATATGAAAGGATGTTCCACATCACGTGACATCATGGAGTACAAATTAAACCAACAGTGACATTCTACTGTGCACCATTAGAGTGGCCAAAGTCCAGAACACTGACAATACCAAGTGTTGGTGAGGATTTGGAATAGGAACTCTTCATTCATAGCTTGTAGGAAAGTGAAATGGCACAGCCACTTTGGAAGATGGTTTGCCTCTTTCTTATAAAACTAAACATAGTCTTACCATATGATCCAGAAATCACACTCCTTGGTATTTACCCAAAGAAGTTGAAAACTTAGGTCCACACAAAGACCTGAACACTGATATTTATAGCAGTTTTAGTCGTAGTTGTTAAAACTTGGAAGCAACCAAGATGCCCCTCAGAAAATAAATGGGTAAACTATGGTACATCAAGACAATGGAATACCATTCAGTACTGAAAAGGAATTATCAAACTATGAAATGACATAGAGGAAACTTAAATCCATATTACTAGGTGAAAGAAACCAATTTGAAAAGACTACACACTTATTTCAACTATACATCACTCTTAGAAAAGAAAAACTGTAGAGATAGTAAAAACATCAGTGGCCAGGGACTGGGAGAGGGAAGAGATTTTAAAAAGTACAGAAGCTTCATGGCAGTAAACTACTCTGTATTTTAATATCATGGTAGATACATGTCATTTTACATTTGTCAAAAACCCATAGAATATATAATACCAAGAGTGAATCCTAATGTAAACTACGGACATGGGGTGATTTCATAACATGCCCATGTATGGTCATCAGCTGTAATGATGCACCACTCTAGTGGGGATATTGATTATGGGGGAAACAATTTATATGTGGGAGCAGACAGTATAAAGGAAATCTCTATATCTTCCACTCAGTTTTTCTGTGAACCTATAAATGCTCTAAAGTACACAGTTTATTTTTTAAAAATACATTTCTGTATTTTTAAAAGGGATTGTAAAATTATTTTGCAAGAATAAAGTCACTGTTATCACTTACTAATGAAAGGAAAATTACATACATTATCAGATTCTAATAAATAAGATAAAGTGTATTTGAAGCACAGAATCTATTGACTTCCACAGGTGATTTTAACATTCAAAATCATAGGTGATCCTTACAGATTGCCAACAGTGAAACATATGGTATAGCATGGAGCTTCCAACCTTTTCAAGTATGAGGACATATTTTCAGCATCAAAAATATTTTAGGTACACATCCATAATCCCAGTTACTCAAGCCTATGGCAGGAAGACTGCTAGTTTTAGACTAGCCTGACCAACATGGTGAGACCCCCCCCATCTCAAAACAGAGAGAGAGAGAAATTTTTAGCATGTCACTTCATATTTGTGTCATTTATTAATGATTTATTGCATAGATTTATTGATATACAAAAATACACATATATATCTTTTTGGCCTCAGGAAGGCATCTAAGAGTATTAAGAGGCAATGTAACATGAGATCTTCACCCAGCAGTGATGGGTGCTAACTATACCAATCACACACTCCTGATTGCACTTTTGAACTAGACACACAGAAAGTAGAAAACCAGCAGGGATCTTGAAGGTGCAATATCCTTGAGTAACCAGAAGCTCTTCACAAAATGGGGGAATCCAGCTTAGTGGCATTTACCTCCCTCCCCTTCTGTTATCCTTTTTTTTTTTTTTCAGACAACTGAAAATGAGCAAGAGTAAGGCGGGAGAGGAGTCAGAGTAATTTAATTGATTTATGGCTTTAGAAGTGGTGGCAGCAGGGCAGCTGCTCTGTGCCTGTCTTGAAGGCTGTCTGGTCTCTAGAAGGCTCAATACACTCAGGTTCCTACTTCTCTTCTGAGACCTGGACATTTCCTGTACCTCATCACCTGACTAAGAACCTCATCTTTCTTATTTCCCCAGTTCCCATGCAATAAATATTTCAGAACCAAAGTAATTTGAGTTTGTCCCTGTTCTTCATAACTAAAAGTTACAACTAATACAAAAATTAAATTTAGCTTTGTTATGGCACATATTTACCAACCATGAAAACAATCCAAAACCTTAGCACTTTGCATTGTTTTTCTTGCTCCCTTTCTTTTTAATTTATTTAAAAGAAAGATGCTGTGGTTTAGGTGCTATGCGAATGTAAAGTAAAGAAAAGCTACTTACTGTTCTAATCATTGGTACTGAAGTATGTGATTTCTCACCAGCACATAGTTACCCATGGTGAAGCCCATTCGGTCTTTGTCCTCGTTAGAATGCGAACTCTTAAAGTTCCACATGTTGGTAGCGCACAAAACCCATTTCACTGAAGTTTGGAAGGAAGGTTCTATGGTGTGAATATGATTTGTCTTCTCCAGAACATATCTTGAAAT